TCACTAGGTTAGAAATGCATGTTTTTGGCTTCCGTAACGCATTCGTTAAAATCATTTTTAAGGTGCTATTCACTTAAGGGTGTTGAAGAATTTGAAAAAAATATCCAGTGTGGTAGATGTTGAAAATAGAAGTACAGACAGAAGAAAAGTCTCAGGTATGATATGAAGCAGAAGAAGGTGGCAGTCATTTCTCAAACTGCTACTTTGACAGCGTCTCCTTCTTTTATCACGAACATTTTTCAAATTAAAATTCTCTAAAACAACTTTCTAAAATGTTGAGGCTACGCTTTTACGGAGTAAACTTCCCAATTTGGAAGCGAATCGTTGCTATGATTCAAAAATACAGCTTTGGTTTGACAATGGACAAAAATTGCGAGCAATGTTGCTGCTAAATCTGATGAGTAAGCAGTAAGCACCTGAACGATGATAATGAACGTGATTTTTTATCTCTCAACAAGCCCAAGTTTTTCCTTTAAAAGTGAGAGAGTTTATCATTCGCATATTTTCTTATAAGTCTCTCTTCCAAAGGGAGATACGGGAAACAAGCAGTAATTGCGGAAGATCAACACTTGAGTGATTGGCGGTCGTCACAGCACATCACATTATAACTTTAGAAATTACTATGTTAAATTCGTTTTTTTTTTGCAGAATCCAAGTCAACAGTATCTCATAGGGATTCTTAACCCGGGTTTATGAGGATGTTGGAACCTTTTTAGAACATTTTAGGCTCTTATTTCTACTTATCTGCGCCATGTTTTACAGAGCCCACTTTGATTCCTTTTCGAGTGTGGTTGGAGGTTTGGCCGATGCGCTTTTAAACTCGTTTGAGCGAAGCAAAGGAAATGTTTAAGAAGGTGATTCTTTAGGTTTCCCACAAAGCAACGGCATACAAAAACAGTGGGTACAAGGTTTGCTTAAGCCTAAACGACAGGATTAAAATTTTGTTCGCAGTCTAACAAAATGTTAGTTGCTATGTTAGTCCTAGCTCAAGCCGAGGATCAAATGTTGCAAACATTGCTTTCCCTTAAAATTCGTTCCATATCACAAGCTTTGCCGAATTGGATCTACCAAATGGCTGAGAAGCTATACTGAACGTCTACACTGCTGAGAATTAAGAACATCAGTTCACTAGATCATAGCTTACAGGACGTCACAGCATCAACACGTCCAAAAGTCTTCTCAGAGAACTCTGCCTTTTACTATAACTCACCTAAAAACGCTACTTTATTGACGTGAAATCGTCATTATGATAAATCAAAGGCAGCTAAATTTCATTCTTTAGAGATATGCGTAATATCTGAGGTGCGCTTATCATTACCACTACACTATTTTCATCTCTTGATTACAAGATCTTAGGCTAACTAAAGTGTTAAAATTGCATCCACTAGCATCCATTAGTTAGCGTACACAATCAACGTTTTTTGGATCTCTTCAAAAATTGTTTACGCCTCTCGAGTAGCCGAGCAGCTCCAACAACGATGCTTATCATTTCATTTTAACAGCTCTCTTATTAAGAGGGTCTCAGGTACTGGAGAAAATGTTGTGCTTCCAGTTATTGCCATATGGCAAGATCTATGGAGAGTTATGCAATGTAAAGCTGACAAAGTGCCTTAAGTCATTTTCTCAAAACTTCCACTGAGTTTCATTAAGTGGGCCGATTAACATTTTTACTAATTTCGATTAGTATGATTGCTTACATAAGCCAGATGGGCTGCCACAAAAAAAGAATTTTTTAGATCATGAATGTGTTTGATTCAGTTAATTTGATTCATGATAGTAAGACGTCAACAATAAAGGGGGAACCATATTTCTTGTATATTTGAGTATCTCTACGATAAAGCATGACGAATTAGTTTACTGTGTGAATCTGGTCTATCTCTCCATTTGAAAACATCTAGTTAATAAATAGGAGCCCTCAAGTTGAAATGTTGATTATAAAACTTAAAATATGTTTCTTTTATTCACAATCATCTTTCTAGCCCTCTGCACACAATAGAATTGCCCTATAATCTGCTTTTTTCATAACCATCGTCGCATCAAAAATAGTGTTTCGATTTTATGCTCGTGAAAAGCGTTGCATGCAACTGTTTTATTTTTTTAATAGTTAAATTGCAGGAGGACATGTCAAATGAGCTGTGGTTAGGTCTCGCAGCTGCTGTAGGTGCATCGATTCTTTTTGGTACTGTCTTTGTACCTGTTAAAAAAGTTGTACCTGGAGATGGTGAGACACTATACTTCTGTATTTTTCCTAAGTCAGTGGCTATTGTTTTACCGAGCTTTGAAGAAGTTACATGATAAGCAGTAAAGAGAGTGTCAGCTATATGAAGGCGGAATGTTGTCATAACAAGAAACAAGTACGAATTTTGAGGCAGTTACCTTTATCGAAACTGCTGTTGATGACCATCGTGGTGGGATTAATCTTGAATCCCTCGCAAGACGTAGATGAAATGATATCTGAAGAATAACAGTACTAAGTCATAGAAAAGGTCAGCAGAGTGGTATTTCCTTAATAGTATATTAGCACAACGGTTTCCAGTCATTATATTCAGAAGGGCTGTGAGCTGCGAAATCATATTTGTAAACAAAATTTACTTACCATATTCTTTTTTTTTTCGTCAGCAGTCAGAAAAAAAGAAGGTCGAGAAGTTTAGATTTATTCGACCATTTTCGACAATTTCAATTATCTAATCAATTGGTAATTCTAGT